CAAAATGATGAGTAGGCAAGGCTATTAACTGCAGCACTGTTCGTAATAGCAAAAGACAACCTAAATAAACATCCTGAGGGTCTTGTTGAATAAATTATGGTAGATCCATACAATGGGATGCATCTACAAAAGAAGAAAGGGGGGGGGGAAGAATGAGGTAGTTTTGTATGTATTAATATAGAACAGCCTCCAAGATATATTATTCAGTGAAAAAAGCAATGTGCAGAAATGTGAATAGTATGCGATGATTTTTATAAATCATCTGAATGTGTATGTGTGTACATATTGGTAAGTGCATAGAGTATATCTGGAAGGATATACAAAAAACTAGTTGGAGGGGAGAGGCCCCTGGGGAAGGGAACTAGCCAAGGAATGAGATAAGAGGGAGACAACGTTTCACTCTATATCCTTTTGTATCTTTTGAATTTTGAGCAGGTGTATGTATTATCTATTCAAAAGTAAATATTTTAAAACCACATCTATGTACAATTTTGTGTTCTGATTTTACACTTATTTTATAAATATTCCTCTATAGCATATTCCATATAGTTAATATAACATTAACAGTTTCTAGGAGCTTTCTTCCCTCTTCTGTTATAAATAATCTAGATATTTTGTGTCATTAATATAATACTATATTCCCTCATGCCTTCCTGCCTTACACATGTTCTTCTTTCTGCTTAGAATGCCATACTTACCCTGCTCTCTCCTTGCCCGCACATTCAATGTGCTCATCCTAACAGTTCCAGTTCAAATACTAACAGCCTTACCTGATTCTCAGGAATACTTACTCAGACAGTACTTTGTATACCTCCAGAATAGAGATTTTTTATTTTATGGTAATTGACTGCTTATTAGTTTTTCCTCCCCAAAGAATACGTCTTTTCATCTTTGTTAACCAAATCCTCTGACACTCCCAACCCTTGCCAAGATCTTACTAGCTAGTAGGTTGCAGTTAAAGTCCATAGTTGCAAAATCTCTAGGGATGATACCAACACCTCAGAGGGTCCTGTGCACACATCAGCCCATTCCAGGGAGGGGGTTTGTTATCTCATTTATGTTCCTGCAGCTCCACTGTTTGTTCCTGCAGTCTCTCTTTGTGTTTTCAGAAACACTGGTTCATTACTGATAGCTGTCTTCCCTTTTAGGGCCGTGAATAGCCCCTGCCACCACCTCCATCCCCTCAGATCACTGGTGCTAATTTCACATTGGCCTGGAAATGATAGAAAGCTGGTTAAGGATGTGATTTCTAGAGCCAGACTGTGCTTGGGCTTGAATTCCAATTCTACCATTTAGTGTCTGTGTGATATAGGGCTTTCTTTCATTGAACCTGACTGTTCCTCAGTTTCCTCAAATGTAAATGAGGCTAATGAAAGTAATTATCTTAAGGTTGTTGCCAGAATTAAAGGATCTAATTTTTAAAAACGTTTAGGACAGTGCCTAGCACACAGTAAGCATTGTATAAATGTTAGTTTTTATCATTCACTTTACCAAGTTCTCTAAGTGTGAAACTAATTCCCCACGTCATAACAGAGATCAGGTTACAGTTTACAAAAATTCTTTGCTGAAGTCTCCAGAATAATTAAAGGCAATAACAAAGGAGAAAATTTTACAAAAGTGGCCACTCATCTACACTGATCCTCTATAGCAGCAGTCCCCAAACTTTTTGGCACCAGGGACCGGTTTCATGGAAGACGATTTTTCTACGGACCGGTGGGGGGTGGGGTGGGGAGGGGTTCAGGCGGTAGTGCGAGCGACGGGGAGCGGCAGATGAAGCTTTGCTCACTCGCTGCTCATCTCCTGCTGTGCGGCCCGGTTCCTAACAGGCTGCGGACCGGTACCGGTCCACGGCCCCAGGGGCTTGGGGACCCCTGCTCTATAGGGTGGCTCCCTCCCTGTAGGAGAACCAGTATTTCCCTCACCATTCTGAGTAATATTCCAGAATATCAGAGTCCAGACTAACCCCTTAAAGACCAGAAGGAGGAAAAATTTTAATTCATTTCCTAATACAATATTTATTTCTCCTTTTGTCCCAGGAGCTACCTTTCTCCATGATGACTGACAATGGGATTTTCAACTACTTTCAGAGGCTCCCTCATGTACTCAACAGTACTATCCCATCAAAACCATGGTCTGACGTTAGTGTGTTTCCCAGAATTGAGTTTTCCAATCAATTCTGTCAGGTTCCTTTTTATAGCTGTTTTAGGACAATTTCCATGAGGGCAAGGACTCTGCCTGCCTTGTGCACTACTGTATTTCCAATGCCTGAATGTAGTAAGAACTCCATAAACACATGAATTGTGTATGAATGAGCCCTTCCTTTGAAAAAAGATGAAGCTCAGGCCTACACACTCTTCTTTCAGTCTTCTCAACCTTAGCTTCTGATCTCTTGTGAGAATTACTTAAAGCAAGAATCAGCTAAATTGATAATTTAAAAAGAAACTTCTCTAAAGAAGTTTCTCTCTCCAGAGATGCAACTATGCTTACAATAGAGACAGCTGTCATGCATTATGAACTCTGCTTTACAAAGCGGTCTAATAAGGTGATTTTCAAAAAAAAAAGGTAAGATGCAGATTTAAGGTGACAGCTTGTCTGATGCTTACCTAACTCATCAAGATATTCCTTTATTTTAAAAATATTGATTGAGCACTTACTTTGTGCCAGGCATTACAGTATTATTGTATGAACAAGACTGACACACAGTCTCTACTGTGAGCTTACAGTCTTTCAAGACAATTAAACAATAAAGTGTGATGTGTTGTTACCATAGGGGAAGTATTCTAAGGCTAGAGGTCTTCTGCCTGCACTTGAACAAGAGCAGCTCTGCACTGATCATTTTTATATTTTGAGATTCCAAGTGAGATTTTTTGTTGTTGTTGTTAACCTGGCTCCAGTATTACAAAAAGTTTGAAAATTACTGCCATATATATATATATATATATATATATATATATATGTATATATATACACATACATATATATATATTTATTTTTGCTTATTTATTTGTGACTGCATTGGGTCTTTGTTGCTGTGCGCAGGCTTTCTCTAGTTGCGGCGAGCAGGGCCTACTCTTCATTGCAGTGCGTGGGCATCTCATTGCAGTGGCTTCCCTTGTTGCGGAGCACGGGCTCTAGGCACAAAGGCTTCAGTAGTTGTGGCATGCAGGCTCAGTAGTTGTGGCCCACGGGCTCTAGAGCGCAGGCTCAGTAGTTGTGGCGCATGGGCTCAATAGTTGTGGCTCACGGGCTTAGTTGCTCCGCGGCGTGTGGGATCTTCCCGGACCAGGGCTTGAACCCGTGTCCCCTGCATTGGCAGGCGGATTCTTAGCCACCAGCGAAGCCCTGCCATATATTTAATGTGAATTTCATTCTGAAAATCTATTATGTGAATGAATGAAGAGACACTGCATATATAGTTAAAATCACCCTATAAGCATTACTATCCTTTTATAGGGGAGAAAATGCAGTTCACAGAGTAACTCTCCAAAGTCTTTCCCCCCCCCGCAGTTTTACTGAGGAATAGTTGACAAATATAATTGTATAAAGTGATGGTTTGATATACATATAAATCATATAAATTAGATATTTTTATATATATATATATATATATATATATATAGGAATGATTACCAAGATCAATATCCACATCCATCACTTCACATAGTTTACACATGTGTGGTTAAGAATGCTTAAGATCTACTCTCAGCAACTTTCAAACATACGATACCATTTTATTAATTATAGTCACCATGCTGTACATTAAATCCTCAGAATTTATTCTTTTTATAACTGAGAGTTCGTATCCTTTGACCTACGTTTCCCCATTTCTCTCTCCCCCGTCTCTAAAGTCTTATGACAATTAAATTGCAAGCCTCATTCCGAATCTCTGCACTCTACCACACCACAGAGCCTACACCCTAAATGGAATAAATCTTTATTTCTCTAGGAGAAAGAACTCTAATGAGATATTACAAGCTTTGCCTTACCCTTATCCAATATCCAATATTTCAAAGAAAGAAATATATAGCATGCAAATAAAAGACAAAAACCACATCATCATCTCAGTGAATAAAGAAAAAGCGTTTGGGAAAAAAATCCATATCCATTCATGATAAAAACCTTCAACACTAGGAAGAGAAGGGAACTTCCTTAACTTGATAAAGGGCATCCACGAAAAGCCTACAGGTAACATCATACTTAAGGAAGAGACAATGCTTTCCCCTCTAAAATCAGAACAAGACAAGGTTGTCTCATCTCAACACTGTACTGGAGTTTTCAGCCATTAGAAATTAAAGTTGTAGACAGACTAGAATTTGATGATTAATGGGATTTGATCCAAAATTACTGCCATGGGTTGGAACGATTAACACTGCAACAGATATGTAAGTTAAGGCCAAAAATAATGTGCTTAGGTTTAAAAATCAACTGGAAGATACAAATTTCTCAAAAGGATTACTGGGTACCTACTGTGTGCCATGCACTAGAGATAAGAGACATGATTCCTTCCTAGATGAGTTCATTCCAGACCCAAATGCCTAAGCTACACTAAGGCAAGTCTTCCCGTGACCTCTAAACTCCTTTGGCATTTATTAAGAATTTTCTAATTCAATTGTGTTAACGGTTCAGGGCTGAGACTGTATATACTTTGATTCTCCACGGTTCCCAACAATTCTCAGGAGTTTACTACCCTCCTAATGGATCACTGCATTGGCCCCCCGCTATCTCAGCTGAACTACAATAAGTTAAAGAAGTTTATTCGAAGCCGAAACATGTGAATCGCGCGTTTTAGGATGACAGCGTCCGGAACAGCGCCTAGAACTGCCTGAAATTGTAACAACTCTTCAAGTGTCCGGAAGCGTTTTCTGAGATTACGTCTCTGAGCATGAGCGGAAGTCACCCTTTGAGCAATCTGCGGTTTAATTATATTCAGGACAGAGACATCCGTTTCCATTCTTTTCTTCTCGTTGCACCCATAAGCAAGTGATCAGGTGACAAATTTCTCTTCGTTACTATAAAATAAAGATCGTATTCAAAGAAGTTTCAAGGCAGCCCAACTCCCCATCGTCCAGTAGTAAAGATGGAGGCGCCCTGAATGTAAACTGCAGGTAATACCACTTCCGTGTTTCTCTTGCGCCCTGGTCCAAGATGGCGGATGAGGCCACCCGGCGTGTCGTGTCTGAGATCCCGGTGCTGAAGACCAATGCCGGACCTCGAGATCGGGAGTTGTGGGTGCAGAGACTCAAGGAGGAATATCAGTCTCTTATCCGGGTCAGTTGTGCTTCTACTGCCAACCGCGTCGCAAAAGGGTTGCGGGTAATCTGGTGTCCTTAGAAATATGCTCCGTGTGGAAGCCGCTTCCGGTTTTAAAGTTTAACTTTACGAATTCATAGATATTGGACGACTGCGGGGCTGGGGGACTTAGGGAAGCGCGGTGGGGAGGAGGTGCCTCCCAAGAGACTCAGGTTAGGAGCCACGGTGGCGCCAGACTTTCTGACTGAAAGCAGCAGTTATTTGGGGGATATGCCGCCTCGGAGAATGACGTGTCCTCCTGGCCCCAGGTGATTGCTCTCCTGGATGTAGGGGAGGTGGTCAAAAGGAATTCCTGGAGCCCTAAGTCCCGGTCCGCGTCTCTCCGCTCCCTCTTTCACTTGTCCTGAGGGAGGAATCCACGTTAGAGCTAAAAATTCAGGTAGATATTAGTTGCAGAGAGACAAGGAGCTGAGCTCAGGGTTAGGAACGAGCCATCTTCTGAGCTAATCTCCCTTCTGTGGAAGGAGAAGAAAATTTGACTTTCTTGCGGTGGTCTCTGTTTCAAAGGCTAGCAGCTTTCCTGATGCATGTATTCATTCACTAAAAAACATTTATTGTACACCAAGTACCTAGGAAGGGCATCCAAAGCCGAATAAAATTGAGCCTACGGAGGTGGACAGAAACATATCATGATAATACATTATGTGGAGAAACAGGGAGAAGGAGTCTGAGAAATTGCTAAGATGTTTTGAAGCAGGAGGTGAGATACCGAAATCCAGCTTGGGTCTGGTCAGGGAAGGTTTCCTAGAAGAGGCAATGCTTGAGCTGAGGCTTAAAGGGTGAACATAAGTTGGCCTGATAAAACATGAAGGTAAGAGAAGAACATTCAAGGCAAAAGGGACAGCATGAGCAGTCATAGAAGCTAGAAACACCATGACATATATGAAGAAACACAAGTAGATCAGAGTTGTTAGAGCATCAAAGTGTGGCAGGGAGTGGTAGATAAGGCTTGACAAATAGATTTGAGCACTTGAATTTTATCTTGGAGGCATTGGGATACCTTTAAATGATGTTAAGCGGAGGAGTAACACGATGAGATTTGGGTTTAGATCAGTCACTGGCAGTAGAGAGGAAAATAGAATTGACAGGGATAAGATTGAAGTTAGGAGGCTGTCATTAATCTAGGCAAAAGAAAGATGATGATCTCTAAACTTGGGAGTTATGGTGAAGATAGAGAGGAGAGGTAGATTTAAAGAATATTCAGAAGGTAAAATCAGCAGGACGTTGTAAAAGATTGGTTTGTAGAGTAAAGGAGAAGGAGGGTCAAGGATGATTCCCAGGTCTTTGGCTTGGGTGACTGAATGCTAATAGTGCCAACTGAGGTTGGTGCAGTGGAGAAACAAGTCTGAAAGACTAGAGGGAAACGGACTGCCAAGTTTGAGGTACCTGTGGAATGAAGGTAGAAATTTCAATACACAGTTGGATAATGGAGCTGAAGCTTTGAGAAAAGCTCTAGATTAAAGATAAAGATTTAAAAGTCATCAGCATATGGGTGCTTAAGAGAGGAAGTAATCACACACTTTTCTTTTGAGGGAAGAGGGACTGCCCTTGACCTCAACACTCCCCTCAAAGACCTCATTCTCTACTTTTAGTACGTGGAGAACAACAAGAATGCAGACAATGATTGGTTCCGACTGGAGTCCAACAAGGAAGGGACTCGGTAGGCAGACCCTCTTGGGAGGTGTGAGGGTGGGGATGCCACATAGCTTGAGCATTTTGGTGTCCCAGAGCCCACTGCTAGGCCTTTCCTGCCCCTTTCTGGTCTCCACTCCCACAACTCCAGAGTTCCCCAATTCCCAACCCACGAGTCTCCCAGGCTGGTGACCTAAGCCAAGAAGATGTCATCTGAGTATTAGAAGAATGGGAAAATTGCACTGAGGTTTGGTCTGTGTTACAGGTGGTTTGGAAAATGCTGGTACATCCATGACCTCCTCAAATATGAGTTTGACATCGAGTTTGACGTGAGTATGATGGAGTGGGAATTATGGAGGTTAGTAGAACAGGAGGGATTAGGTGATTGTTAACAAGCTAACCAGGAGGGACCAAAGATAACTTTTTAAATGGGAGGGAAAAGCTGAGGTTTGAAACAAGCATAGGTTATAGTTATTCATCTCCATGTCCAGAATCCTGGTGTGTGACTGCTGCTTGATGAGTTTATAGAACATTTCAGTTCAACCAAGAAATGTGTATATCTGATTAGATTAGTTCCTTTCTATTCTGATTCTGTTTTATTAAAGCTTTATAATTCTTCCAGATTCCTATCACATATCCCACTACTGCTCCAGAAATCGCAGTCCCTGAACTGGATGGAAAAACAGCAAAGATGTACAGGTAGGACTGAATAGGAGATGGGAAAAGGTCAAAGAAGGCCTTGGGGAAGAACTCTCTGAGGCAGGAGTTTTCCCAGAGTCTGCAGGCCTAGAGAGACTCCAGGTCTCCCTCTGCCAAGCCTGGGCAAAGCACTTAGCTGACCTTGTTCTCAATTCCGATCACCAGTAGTCTTCCTGTGCTCTCAAGAGCCTGCTGTGCTTTATGGTATACCTTGCATGTCAACACCTTCTGATCATCTTGTCCCTCTCATAGGGGTGGCAAAATATGCCTGACTGATCACTTTAAGCCTTTGTGGGCCAGGAATGTGCCTAAGTTTGGACTAGCTCATCTCATGGCTCTGGGGGTAAGTTTGGAGTATTTGGTATATAAGGGGAGAAGGGGTTAGGTCCTGAGTGGTATAAGAAAAGTAACTGAGAGTAAACAAGGAATAACAGTGTTTTCCTTTGGGCGTGTTCTCCTAGAATATCTCTAGGAAGGAGCTTCTGATGGCATAAGAGGCATTGATTGGGTGGTAGTAATCTCACAGGGTCTCCCTTGTATTGCAGCTGGGTCCGTGGCTGGCAGTGGAAATCCCCGATCTGATTCAGAAGGGAGTGATTCAGCATAAAGAGAAATGCAGCCAATGAAGGATCAATCCACTGAGGCAGGACAGAGGGACCTTCCATAGGCTACGTTCCTGTTTTCCTGTGCATCATTCTTTTTACTCATCTAACCACTTCCCCCCACACCCCTTCACCCGTAATTTTTACTAAGTATCAACAGTTGCAGCAGACACTGCTGAAAAAAACAACGGTATTGCTGCTGAATTTCTAAGTTGGGCTACACAGGAAGAAGAAAGACTAGGGCCTTGAAAAACCAAAAGGCAATTTATATCCCTTGTCCAGGTGGAGCAGTGTGAGGTCCTGGAGGGATAGGGGGTGACTGAAAGTGGGTACATAGTCTTTTTGGTTTCTGGAGATAACTGATCAATAAAAGCTGCTTCCTCCTGTGGCTTGTGGTTCTCATTGGTGGCTGTTAATAGAGGGTGAGCAGGCTTAGGGTCAGCAGGCTAAGACCCAAGGCACATGTACAACTATACTAGTTCAGGAGGGAAGGGGAAATGGAGGATGCTCTGTTCTGGAGCTGGGGAATGAAAGGAAATCCTGACTGCTCTCCCTGCTGCTGAGATCTGCTTTTGTCCTTTAGCAGGGAGCCTACCGCTTTGGCCTGCAAGATGCTTGACGACTGGTTTTGCAGGGCCAGTATTCCCTGCCCTCCAGGGATCTTCCCAACCCTATGTGGATACTTCACTGGTCTGTGGGCTGGACCCAGGCCCTGCATTCGCACCCCTGCTCCCTGGGAAGGATCTGTGCTGCAAGCCGGGGGGCCATACTACGAATGTCAGATCTATATCCTTTAGAGCCACGGGGTGGGGCGATGGGACTCTACTTTAGGGACTTGCTTTGGAGCGATGGTTTAAAGACAATTCTTGCCAAAGCTGGGAACTGGTGGTCCTAAAGTTGGCTGTGTTTCCATGGTGTCGGCAGCGGAGCCTAGGGGGCGGGTTCACGCAAGCGCCGAGGAAGCCGGTGGGTGGAGTCTGAGTGTGGGTGCGCAGGCGCTCTGAGAGACAGTGAAGCCGGCGGCCGGTGGCCGGGCGGGACCAGCAAAGATGGCGGCGGCCCCTGCGGTGGGAGAGATCTGGGCACTAGCTGCGGCTAAAGCTGCAGCCGGGCCCACGGGGGCGCTGCACGAGGGTAGTAGGGGGTGGCCCTGAGCTGGGGCCTGGCCCCGGCTGGCCTCCCCCGCCGCCTCACCCGGGGACAGGTACGGTCCGGGGCGTTATGGCGTGGGGGTGCCGAGGGAAGACTGTTCCAGACCCGAGAGATCGCCCACCCCAAAAGCAGAGGCGCTGGGGGCCCGGCAGGCCTGCGAGAACTGGGCTGGAGGGACCAGCATCCATGGATCGTGTAGAATATGCCGCTGGACCCCGTAGCCAATCAGCAGCCTCGGCCTTTCTGCCCTCGAGGGGGGCGGACCCGGTTGAAACCTCCTGTGGTGGGAGATGTGCAGAGATTAGGGGTCAGGGAGTTAGTTCGTCCTCCCTCCCCCCCACAGCCCCTGAGCCCCAACACCACTTTGGAGCTCAGAGGTGGGGGAGGGAGTAACCTTTTTAGTGTGCTTCATTTGCAGCCAGGAGGGGCAGGGGTTTGAGAATGGAATGCTGTCCTTGGGGCTGTTATACTTGCATCCACACCGCTATTTGACCAGAGGTCCCAAGTGACCCAGAGCACATCCCACTTGACTAGGCAGGTATGGGGGAACCTTCATGAGCACCTAGATTATAAAGACAGCCAAGATAGGAACTCTTTATCATTGGCTCTCCAGTAAAGCAGTATTCTGCAGGAAGGGCGTGAGGAATGTAGAAAGAGTCAAAGCCCTGCCTGCTATCATTCATTCATTCATTTACTCAATGGATACTAAGTGTTTACTTTGTACCAAACACTATACTAGGCACAGGGGATACAGGGATTGATACACTAGACATGGTTCCTGCCCTCCATGCACGTAGCTAGTATGGCAGCCTAGGTTCCCACCTCCCTCCATATTCAAACGCTGATCGTCTCTTCTCCTCCCAGGTCCAGCCTGTGGTGTCCACAATGCCCCAGGCTTCTGAGCACCGCCTGGGACGGACCCGAGAGCCACCTCTTAATGTCCAGCCCCGAGTGGGATCCAAGCTACCATTTGCTCCCAGGGCCCGGAGCAAGGAGCGCCGAAACCCAGGCCCTGGGCCGAACCCTGTGTTACGACCTCTGCCTCCTAGGCCAGGTCCCCCTGAGGAACGGCTCAAGAAACTGGAGCTGGGACGGGGACGGACCTCAGGCCCTCGTCCCAGAGGCCCGCTTCGGGCAGATCATGGAGTTCCCCTGCCTGGCTCACCACCCCCAACTGTGGCTCTGCCTCTCCCATCAAGGACCAACCTAGCCCGTTCCAAGTCTGTGAGCAGTGGGGACTTGCGTCCAATGGGGATTGCCTTGGGAGGGCACCGCGGCACTGGAGAGCTAGGGGCTGCACTGAGCCGCTTGGCTCTCCGGCCTGAGCCACCCACTTTGAGACGTAGCACCTCTCTCCGCCGCCTTGGGGGCTTTTCTGGGCCACCCACCTTGCTCAGCATACGGACAGAGCCCCCTACTTCCCATGGCTCCTTCCACGTGATATCTGCCCGGCCCTCTGAACCTTTCTACTCCGATGACAAGATGGTGAGGACTTGCCAGCACACGCCTTCCATGCCCATGTTCCTCCATGCCTCCAGCTTTCTTGCCATCATATGGCTTTCCTTTCCCCTTTTTGCCAAGTTCCTTTTTCACCCCCTTCGTTTCAGTAGTTTGGACTCTCCTCTCCCTTATTTAAGTAACTTTAAGCCTCATAGACCCTTTCCAGGGTTGTCTGTGACTCCCCAGAATGGTGTGCCATTTCAGTCCCCAAGGAATAAACCATTTGGAATTCTTTGGGTCCCCAGGCCCTTACCTTCCCTTGCTGTACCTTGTCTCCTGGGATGCTGCCTAGGCCTAATTAATCTCTGGAGCTGAAGAGGGGCAGGCTCAGAACATCTGAGCTCGTGCGGTTGCCCATTTCCCGAGCTAAGTGAGCTAGGCTGATTGCAATTGGAGCCGTCAGGAGAGGGGCCTGCTCAGAAGGGCAGGAAGGGGCCACGGGTGCAGGAGGGGGCCTTGGGGGTAGCAAGGTGGGGGTGGGGAGCAGCTGGGCAGCCATGCCAGTGCTTGGGGAGTTGCCCCAGGAGCTGCATCGCCGGCTAGCTGGGCAGAGGAGTAAGTGGGGAATAGGTGGGACAGCCATGGCTGAGTCCGTGGTACACTCAGCTGTGTTAGGCTTACTGCTCATGGCCATTGAGGTAGGGAGACCCTAATACCCAGTGACGGAAAAAGTGTAGAGTTTGGGGGTGAAGGATGGGGTGGGGAAGGCAGTGGGCAGCATGCTGTTGAAAGGTTAAAGTGCCAGGTGGGATATATGGGAACGTGCTGACTGTACTCTGACCTTCCAGGCTCATCACACACTGCTTCTGGGCTCTGGTCATGTTGGCCTCCGAAACCTGGGGAACACGGTGAGAGCCATTCTCCTGTCTTTCCTAACAGGAATGTGAACTGGTGTTGGAGGCAGGCATGGGGAGGGAAACTTGGGGAAGGACAGCACTGAAGTTCTCCTAAGGCTTCCTAGGCACTGGTCTGGGGAGGTAATGGCACTGTCTTTACTGCTCCCCAGTGCTTCCTGAATGCTGTGCTACAGTGTTTGAGCAGCACTCGGCCTCTTCGGGACTTCTGTCTGCGAAGGGACTTCCGGCAAGAGGTGCCTGGAGGGGGCCGAGCCCAAGAGCTCACTGAAGGTGGGGCGACAACTCCTGCTCCCTTCTTTCAAGTCCTCTTTTCCCCAAACCCTTGTAGGTCCACCTGCCAGTGCCAGTGGCCCCAACCCTGAAAGCTGGCAGGTGTATCTGTTTCTCCCAGTGCCTGATTTCCTAGAGGTTGTTTTCCACCTTCTAAGCCTCCTCTTGCTTCCCTCTTCTAGTCATTAACCACTGTTTCCCTTCCCCACTCCCACCCTAATAGCCTTTGCAGATGTGATTGGTGCCCTGTGGCACCCTGACTCCTGTGAAGCTGTGAATCCTACTCGATTCCGAGCTGTCTTCCAGAAATACGTTCCCTCCTTCTCTGGATACAGGTGGGAGAGCTGGAGGGTACGGGATTTCTCTCTGGCCTTGTCTGGGGGTAGGGCCAAGCAGCATCATTCTGAGCCTTGAGACGCTCTTCATCCAGGAAGTGGGGACAGGGGTTAGTGACTGTGGACTAGGCAGGGGTCGGTTGCCCATGTTCTTTGTCTGACTGCAGCCAGCAGGATGCCCAAGAATTTCTGAAGCTCCTCATGGAGCGGCTGCACCTCGAAATCAACCGACGAGACCGCCGGGCTCCGCCAGTCCTGGCCAATAGTCCAGCTCCCTCCCAACCCCGCCGTGGAGGGGCTCTGCTAGAAGAACCTGAGTTAAGGTAAGGTTGCTCCCCTCCTTCTCCTCCGCAGTAGTTTATCAGCAGCATTCATCCTTCACAGAAGTAAGCTAGTCAAGATTGAGGATGTAGTGTCCAAGGAAATACTTAGCTCAGAAAATGGTTTGAGAAGCAGTGCAGAAGTAGGAAGAAGGCATGAGGAGGAGGGAGGCTGAGGGGCACAGATGGAGGCAGAAGATAGGGCTATGGCTGTCACCATATTGACAGAGGAGGGGATAATTAATTTACAAGGTACCTAAGGGGTCTGAAGCCAGGTGGAGGAAGACGGCATGTTCTTCCCTTGTCGACATTCCTTTCTTTTCCTCTCACCTTGGATTTCCCCGGAAAGTCTTCTGAAGCATTACTCCTTTGTCTGTTTCTTGAAATTTAGAGAAGGAGCTAGGGTATGGGTGGGGTACAGGGCTCTGTGGATCATTCCAGTGGTGTTGGGGGTGCCCGGTGTTCCTGCTGTCTCATGGGTGCTCCCCACTTCCCTTGATCTGTCCTAGCGATGACGACCGAGCCAACCTAATGTGGAAGCGTTACCTGGAGCGAGAGGACAGCAAGATTGTGGGTATGGAACGAGACAAAGTGATGGGGAAAGTTAGTGTGTGGGGGATGCGGGCTTGGCAGAAAAAAATCAATCCTATCCAGGGGTGTGGGAATAAGACTGGATGACGAAAATGTGGAGAAGTTGTGAGGGGTTTGTGAGGAGTGTCGGTGGTGGGAAAGGAAGCGTCAGGCAAACGGATGGGAAGAGATGGGAATCCAAGGAAGCATCTCAGGCATCCCACAATGACTGTTTCTCCTGCCCCTTTGCTTCTATCTAGACCTGTTTGTGGGCCAGTTGAAAAGTTGTCTCAAGTGCCAGTCCTGTGGGTATCGCTCCACGACCTTCGAGGTTTTTTGTGACCTGTCCCTGCCCATCCCCAAGGTGGGATTCCAGAAGATTCCAGGGGTGGATGGGACATGGGTTCTGTGACCCAACCCTACCCACCCCCAGTGTGGGAGGGAACCCTGTGGGTCTCTGGAGCAGAAATGAAGCTTGGATTAATTGAGAAGAGTTGGAAAAGGAAATTCAGAACATGCTGACCCTTCACTCTCCTTTCCCCCCAGAAAGGATTTGCCGGGGGCAAGGTGTCTCTGCGGGATTGTTTCAGCCTTTTCACCAAGGAAGAAGAGCTAGAATCGGAGAATGCCCCAGTATGTGTGGGTTCACGAGGGATATAGTAAGGGTGGGAGACCTGGGGGGGCTCCATAAGGGTAAAAGGGGTTGCATGATGCCTTAGTATGAAGAATAACACTTATATATGTCTGGGTTTGTGTAGGAGTTTCAGATATGTCCTGGGATTCCCAGGGCAGAGGGCAGTGGCCCAGAGGATACAGAAGTAATAGGGAGCATAGTAAATTTGTATGTGAGTCAGAGTATCAGAAAAGCCAACGGAGGTGAGGAGCACGTTAACCTATTATTTGACATTTACTCAGGTGTGTGATCAATGTCGGCAGAAAACACGAAGTACCAAAAAGTTGACAGTACAAAGATTCCCCCGAATCCTCGTGCTCCGTATCCTAATCTTCAAATTCTTATTTCTCCCATTCATTCTTTTTCCTCATTCCCCATGTTTGCAGAGGTTGGACCTTTGGGAATTCAGTTTTCCTTAGGAAAAGCCTGCCACTCCACCTTTCCCTACCAAGCTCCCCATGTGTGTTCAGGGAGGGGAGTGGACAACATTCAATTCCTCAGCCCCCCTCAGAGGCCCTCTGCCTCCCAAATTCTCCTTAACCAGAGCTTAGATCTTAATCGATTTTCCGCCTCCCGAGGCTCCATCAAGAAAAGTTCAGTAGGTGTAGACTTCCCGCTGCAGCGACTGAGCCTAGGGGACTTTGCCAGTGACAAAGCCGGTGAGTCTTGTAGGGAAGGTCCTGAGGAGCTCCCATGAAGGGGAGGGAGAGAGTGGGAGTGGGGCACAGCTCTGACTATAGAATTTGGTCATCTCTAACCCCGAAGGAAGCCCCGTATATCAGCTGTATGCCCTTTGCAACCACTCGGGCAGTGTCCACTATGGCCACTACACAGCCCTGTGCCGGTGCCAGACTGGTTGGCATGTCTACAATGACTCTCGGTGAGAATAGCCTCCTGTTCAACTCCTGCCCCATTCCCGCTGCAGCCCTGACACGCTTCCCTAATACGGAGCCCCAGGAGAGCACAGTGCCTGGTAAAAGGCGGGCGGTGGGTGTGTGTGTGTATGTGGGTATGGGGGCGTCTTTCCTGATCACTACCGGGATGCTGTGAGGTTGATCATGTGGGGAGGGGGGAATATGCAGGAATGATCACACCTCCTTCCCCGTCTCCCTTCTTCCTAGTGTCTCCCCTGTCAGTGAAAACCAGGTGGCATCCAGTGAGGGCTACGTGCTGTTCTACCAACTGATGCAGGAGCCACCCCGGTGCCTGTGACATCCCCTTTAAGCCCTGGCACCTGTGAAACCCTTTCAACACCCTCAAGCCCCCAGGCTCCCCATTTACCTCAGAGACGTCTATTTTTGTGTCTTTTTAATCGGGGAGGGGGGAGGGGGTGGTTGTACCTCCCATTATTTTTTTTATTAAAAAATACCCTTCTACCTGGAGGCTCCCCTGTCTCCCTGCCCCATGTACAGAGCTCCCCAGGCCCCTGCCCGTGTACAGCCCCCAGACCCTCTACAGTCTCACTTTTTTTTTTGAATAAATTTATTAAGAAAAAATGTCCTTATTTGTATTTGTGCTTAAAGGGGGTGGAGATACAGAGCTAGGCCGAATCGGAGTCTTCCTGGGACTCAGTTCCCTCTCTGAACAGATGGGGGCGCGCTCAAAGCCGTGGGGGTGGGAGTGGGGATAGAGGTGCCGGACCAGGACCCGTTGATGCCAAGGTTTGACCACGCAGTGAAGGTTTACATTGGGAGGAAAAGGGAAGGCGAGTTTGAGACTCGTGAAGCTGTAGGGAAGCCTGGAGCTAGAGCGCAGGCACTGGGTAGACGGGTTTTGCCGGCGTAGGGGGCTGCCCCCTCGAGAGCGAGGTGCCCAAGGACCCCTGTTGATAAACACGGTACGTTGCCGGGCCGCCCTAACTCCCGTAGGTCCAGGCTGTTGCTACCATCAAGGAGCTGTTTATGGCGCCACCTCCCCACGGACCAGCCTCCAGTGTCCCTATCTACTCTCCCTACAACCAAAGCTCATGAGGCCCTCCCTCCAGGGTTCTCAGCCTAGCTGGGCCTGGGAAGCTCGAGCTGGGGAATGCTAACCAGCACGCAGCTCTCGCCGCTCCAGCCTTGAGAGGAAGTCAGTGATGGATATGGCTGCTCTCTCCAACCTGGCATCGAACCAGTTAACTAACCTCCAGCTCCACACAGCAACCTTCTACAGGGGCCAACCCTCCGCCTTTGCGGGAGGAGGAGCCGCTGCCGGGTCAGTGTTTTCATTGGTGAGTGTGATCGGGGCCTTCCAGGACCCACCAATCCAGGAGCAGGAAGGTAAGGTCGGGAGTGTGCCGCGACAATAGAGTGGACGGAGAGTCGGAGAGACCGAAATACTGGGAGGGGGGCGAGCGGTGGAGGCAGCGGACTGAAACTCTAGGCCTAGTGGGGGCGGGCGGGAGGGAAAGCGCTTCAGAAGACTGGCGGCAGGTCGGAGCCCAGAGCCCTGCGCTAGCAGATAGCGTGGGTGTGGCCCTTATCCACCTCCCAGCCCCCGCCTCTGGGACGCCGGCGGCATGATGTGTTGAGACCTCTGTCTCCTCCTTTCCCCTCATTTTTCTCGTTCCTCTCGTGGGTGAGTCCTAGGCCCTGGGCGGGGGGACCTCACAGTTCCACCACCCCATCCGCGGGCTCTTTCTTAGTTTCCCCTAAGGCAGCGAATGGCTGGGGGTGGAACGCGGAACCCGCAGGTCTTCTGGAGAGCAGGGTGCTTCTGGTCAGCCTGTCCGTATCGCCTCCACACCCGCAGGCTTCACCATGGGCCGGACCGTGGTCGTGCTGGGAGGAGGGATCAGCGGCTTGGCCGCTAGTTACCACCTGAGCCGGGCCCCTTGTCCCCCCAAGGTGAGTGCCCCACCCCTCCGTGCCAGAGGGAGCCTCCTTTAATACTCCTCTCCCATTTCCAGGAAGAGGGAATGCGCCGCCCCATTCCCCTCCTGACCCTTTACGCCGCCGCGGCCGCGGCCGCGGCTATAGGCCGCAGTGTCTCCCTCTTGTCCCCAGGTGGTATTGGTGGAGGGCAGCGAGCGCCTGGGAGGCTGGATCCGCTCGGTACGAGGGCCAGATGGTGCTGTCTTTGAACTTGGACCTCGAGGAATTCGGCCGGCGGGAGTCCTGGGAGCCCGGACCCTGCTCATGGTGAGCGGCTTGTGGAATGCCTAGGAGAGGTTGTGGAGGGACCTTCACTGGAGAATAGAGTGAAGGGGAGCAAGTAGATTTGGTGGTCGGTCCTTTCCTTAGTTTATGCTCTTTCTGAGGACGTGTGAAGCAGGTTTCCGAGCTTGGCTTGGACTCAGAAGTGTTGCCTGTCCGGGGAGACCATGCAGCTGCCCGGAATAGGTTCCTGTACGTAGGCGGCGCCCTGCACGCCCTGCCCTCTGGCATCAGGTAATGCTATCACCTCCTTACTGCCATCCTTCTCTGCTTCCATCCTTCCATCCCTTCCATTTCCTCATCTTCCAGTTTGTCAGCCCTCCCAGCAAAAGGGGCCAAATGAATGGAAATGACCCCCTGGAGCTGGGGGGTTAAATCAGAGCTCCCTCTTCACTGTGCCTTCCTCCATGCAGGGGGCTACTCCGCCCTTCACCTCCCTTCTCCAAACCTCTGTTTTGGGCTGGGTTGAAGGAGTTGACTACGCCCCGGGGCAAAGACCCTGATGAGACTGTGCACAGTTTCGCCCAGCGTCGCCTTGGTCCTGAGGTAACACCGCCCAGAAGCCCCCAAACCCCTCCCCTCCTAAACCAGCTGCAGATCCCCATACTCAAACCTTCCACTAGGGCCTCTTCTGTATCATCTGAAAATGGCCTCTTCTCTTCATACCCAGTAGCCCCCCCAAACTCAGTGATGGGGGTGAATGCCTTCATTTCCTTTCCATCCTTCTGTAATAGTGGGACTGCTTTCCAACCAAACCCCACCCCACCCCTATTCTCTGCCAAGCAGGGACAGTGGAAATTAGTGCAACTTATTCCTTGGCCTCTCAATCCCAGTCTCACCCTTAAGGTGGCGTCTCTAGCCATGGACAGTCTTTGCCGTGGAGTGTTTGCAGGCAACAGCCGTGAGCTCAGCATCAGGTCCTGCTTTCCAAGTCTCTTCCAAGCTGAGCAAACCCATCGATCCATATTACTGGGGCTGCTGCTGGGGACAGGTGAGGGGGGAGTTGGTTCAAGGGTTGAAGATATTAAGGACTGCCAGAGTGAGGGACTGGAAGCAAGGGGTGCTATTTTAATGATTCTTCCCTACTTCCTCCTCTGCAGGGCGGGGCCCACAGCCAGACTCAGCACTTATTCGCCAGGCTCGGGCTGAGCGCTGGAGCCAGTGGTCACTCCGTGGAGGGCTGGAGACATTGCCTCAGGCCCTTAACACCCACCTGACTAGTAGGGGTGTCAGTGTTCTCAGAGGCCAGCCAGTCTGTGGGCTCAGCCTCGAAGCAGAAGGGTGCTGGAAGGTAGGAGAGCCCCCTGGAGTGTAATGAACCTGTCTGTTAGAGTTTCCAACTTTGTCTAAATGCTTTAGCTGGCAGGACTGGAGTTTCTCCTTGTTCTCCTGTCCTAGAAGCTATTTAAATATGGGCTACTCCACATTCCTAGGCCTTATTTGGGGACCTTCCTCCAAGACCTGTTTGATCCAAACCTGTGGATAGAATATATATAAGTGGCTCCCAGCTAGGGGCAAGAACCACTGAGCTCCACTAAACATTTCAGAGTAGCCCACTGGCTTTTGTCTGGCCCACTTCCTGGAGTAATGGGATGATTTTTGTGCTGACTACTTAGTCTGTTCATCCTGAGTCAGCACCCAGTCTCTCTCCTGCCTGGGAAACTAAGGCAAAATTCCCATGATCTCTGTGTCTTTTATTTTATTTTATTATTATTATTTTTTTTGCGGTACGCGGGCCCCTCACTGTTGTGGCCTCTCCCGTTGCGGAGCACAGGCTCCGGACGCGCAGGCTCAGCGGCCATGGCCCACCGGCCCAGCCGCTCCGCGGCATGCGGGATCCTCCCGGACCGGGGCACGAACCCGCGTCCCCCGCATCGGCAGGCAGACTCCCAACCACTGCGCCACCAGGGAAGCCCTCTGTGTCTTTTAAATGTTTTCTTCCTCTCAGGTGTCTCTAGGGGACAGCAACCTGGAGGCTGACCACATTATTAGTGCCATTCCAGCTTCAGGTAATGTGGTGGTCACCCTCCCCTTCTCCAACCAGGTTGAGGCAACGTAGCTTCTTTCTGGGCCAGCAGGACCATGCCATGCCCCTGAACTGGTCAACCCTGTGGGAGTCTAATCCCAAGGAGGGTTGGTAAAATTGAAGTGTGAATGCCTCCTGAGGCAGGCCTCTGCCTGCTCTCCTCCAGTGCTCAGCAAGCTGCTCCCTGCTGAGGCTGCACCGCTGGCTCGTGCTCTGAGTACCATCACTGCTGTGTCTGTGGCTGTGGTGAATCTGCAGTACCGAGGAGGTCGTCTGCCTGTCCAGGTGTGACACAGAAGAAGGGGAGATGTGGGCTCAACTGGAACTCTTCCCTCCTGACCCAGTCTCTTCCTTTTCTCCAGGGATTTGGACATTTGGTGCCATCCTCAGAAGACCCAGGCATCCTGGGAATCGTGTATGACTCAGTTGCTTTCCCTGAGCAGGATGGGAGTCCCCCTGGCCTCAGAGTGACTGTGAGAGAAGGCAGCTTTGCTTAGTGGGAGTTTCCCAAGAGCTCCTCTGTGCCCCAGCGTAGTAAGGCCAGGCTGGTCAGTGCCATATTCCCTCTTTAGGTGATGTTGGGAGGTTCCTGGTTACGGACATTAGAAGCCAGGGGCAGTGTCTTATCTCAGGAGCTGTTCCAAAAGGAGGCAGAGAAAGCAGCTGCCACTCAGTTAGGACTGAAGGAGCCACCAAGTCACTGCTTGGTCCATCTACACAAGGTAAACACTCCTCAGCTACCCACTGGAGGCAGGGACTAGTACATTTGTCATTGTCTACCCAGGCGTGGGACATCAGTAATAATCTTTCCCTGTATCCCCTCTTCTCTCCCCAGAACTGTATCCCCCAGTATACTTTAGGCCACTGGCAAAAACTGGGTAAGTTGGGAAAGCAGCTGGGCTGAGAGGAGCTGTGAAAATAGACCCCCAGCTGTAACATTCCTTTTATCTTTTCCTCCCAGAGTCAGCTACCCAATTCCTGGCTGCTCAGAAGCTGCCTTTGACTCTGGCCGGAGCCTCGTATGAGGGGGTTGCTGTCAATGATTGTATAGAGAGTGGGCGCCAGGCAGCAGCCCGTGTCCTGGGCACAGAACCTAGCAGTTGATCCTCAAACCCCACTTCTTCCTGCCCCTGCTCACAGGGATTCTCTCACCCATGAAAATAAAAGATGCTGGAGCGTGGCTTGGTCTGGCTGTTCTGTCTCCTGTGGATGTGGGTGGGGTGGGTGAGCAAAGGTAGGTAAAGGGTGCTTAGGATACAGAAAGCAGGAGCAGAGGCAAGACAAAGTCCTTTATTAGAAAATATATCAAAATCCCAGCCCCCTGAGGAAGGTCCAGAAGAGGGAGCTACTCCAGCACTGGCAGAAAGTACCCTGGGAGGCGCTTCCTTCAAACACACTTCCTGGGAACCATAAATAGAATAAATATTCACAGAGGTCCCGGGAGAAGTCAGAACACTCTTCTCTCCATGGAAGAGGAAGGGATTTGGGGTCCAGCCCTGCTCTTACCCCATGGGCAGGGGACTCCTAGGAGTCATCACAGAAAATCATGACTTCAAGGATTCACAGTCATAAGCCCTGGCTGGTGACCCTAGAAAGAGGGACCCCCCAGGGCTAGAGGAGCCCAGCTCCAGTCCAGCAGTGAGGAGAGGCCCCTGCCCCCAGCATGGCAGTAGAGTTCATTTCCCCCACATCCCCTCTAAGAGCAGTGAGGAGCTGAGGGTGGGGAGAACACAACTCTTCTGATTCGGTTTCATGATTAAGGAGGAGTCAGTGTGAACCATGGGGAGCTGTGTGGTTGGCAGCAGGCAGAGGGTCGGGCCTGGCTGGGGGCCGGCGCTGCAGCATCTCCTGACGGAAGGCCTGGGAGGAACCAGGTGGGTAACGGGGACCAGAGGGAGTCTGAGGACCCCGAGGGTCAGTTCCAATGTCTGCTGTGATGTTGGTATAGAGAGGGCCCAGCTCTCGAGCCAGCAATCGGTATGTCAGTGAGTTCATCCCATCTTGAGTCCAGGAATTCCGGGTTCGGACCAGGAGGTCAAATCTGAGGATTAGAGATTGGAGACTAAGACCTGGAAAGGAACAGCCTGGAATCTAGGAACCGTCAGGAACTGCCTGGCTAGGGTGCAGAATCCTGAGGATCCAGGAGTAATTCCCAGGCAGCCGTCCCATCCTACCTGTGGGGATTTTCCTCGTTGCCCTTATCTCCTCGGTGCTTCGCCATCTTATAGTGCCCCACAGATGCGGGGGGCCGAGAGATCTTCATCCCAGCCAGGCGTACCCTATGGGAAAAGTGAGGGCAACTTGGAGGATCCAGAGCAGAAGAAAGCTGCTGACAGGTGAGCAAGAAGAGCTAAGGCTAGCAAGGACGGAATTGCACGTTTCTTTACACAAAGAACAGCTATTGCTAACTAGGCAAAAGAAGTGCCAAGTACTGGAAGGGGAGAGAAAGTCAAACACAAAGAAAGAAATGGCTGACGAGAATGTAAAAGCCTGGATGTATCCAGATCCTCAGGGCCTACTGCCAGGCACCCTGGGGGCTTTAAACAATTGGCATAGGTAGATTTGCACCTCCCACCTTTGCTTCCTAAATGGCTCCCAGGAGCTGCCCCTGCAGTCTGGAAAGGACCGGGAGAGGAGCCATTTTCTCAAAAAGGGAGGGCACGACTGGGAGTCACAGACCCAAGCTCAGTGATTCTTATTTAGACGAGTACTCTGCCACATCCCCTACCCCCCACCCACATTAAGAAAAGAGTGGAACCAAGTAATCAGGACCTGGAAAGAAACAAACTCCCACTCTGACCCACAGAAGCAAGAAGTGAAGATAGCCTGGGAAGGTACTGAAAGAATACATACATTTAGAAATTGCTGGGTGCTTTACACACATACAGAAGACAAGAATTCATAGAGATGTCATGCCCGAGGACAAAGGGGGAGGAGAAGCAGTGGGTCCGGCATATCAAGCTCAAATAGTCAAATGACAGGAAATTGGGTCAGCTGAGGCTGAAGGTCAAAATGTTTCACATGCTAAAAATAAGTTGGCATCATGCCAATGGCACAGGCCTTTTTTTTTTAAAAAGTGGTTCTGGGCTATGTGGAGCTGAGCCTCTCCTCTCCCAGCCCTGAAGGGAAGTGTGGTTTGGATGCAACCCTAGCAGAGGCAGGACTAAACTGTCTCTAGGCCCCTTTCCAGCTCTGGAATCCCATGATACTATAGTCTACTGATCTGATCTCTCCCAGGGACATTACTAAGCAGATCTAAGAGACTGAAGGATAAAAGAATGGGGAGCAGCATGCAAAGCCTGACCTGGGTAGACTGAAAAGACTAAGGGAGAGGAATGGGCACAGTGCAGCACCAGGGAGCTAAAAGTTAGTGGTAAAGGACTATGGCTAGGGGTGGTCTCACAGGACAGTGATCCAGGCTGGGGTTAGGGAGGGCGGTGGTGGCAGGAAGTCTGACCTGGTAGCAATGTCATCATCCTCACCACCCCAGCCCCAGTATTCATTGGGGAAGCCATTCATCTTCAGATACTGGTCAGGAGTGAGCGCCGAGACCCCTCCGAAGTACTGGGGGTACGGGAGGCTGGGGAGAGAAACATCCTTGGATTCCACAAGTCTTCTGGGGGGCCATCCCCCCTTCTTCCACTGGGTGGTGGAATTCCTGCTTCCAGTACCCTCTCATGCCCTCTACCTGTATCCAAACTTGTTCATGGCAACAGCAACATGCCGGGGTCCTCGGGGGTCACACACATACAGATTGTGGTCGTTCTCTGGCAAGAGGTCCACATCATGCAAGAACAAGCAGTCCCATTCTTCATCACGCAGGGCCTCCCGCACCCCAACATTCAACAGCTTTGCCCTGTTAAATGTTCCGTTTCCAGCCTGGAAGATAATGGCGGAGGACCAAACTAGGTCTATAGGTAGCATGGAAAAGAAGCATAAAAGTGAAAAGAGGGAAATCAAAGTGGGATATGGGACAAGGAGAATGAAGAGAAAGACAACTTCTTTGTTTTTTCATTCAACAAAAAATTTTTTGAGCATCAGTACGTGCCTGACACTTACATGCTGCTATTTAGCATTTAATCCCGACAACAAACCAACCATGTGGAACAGGTGGTATATTAGTTATCACTCTTTGCCTCATTTTAGCAGGTTGGGGATCTTGCTCAAGGTGACATATGGAACAAGTGGCAGAACCCAGAATTTTAGCCCAAATCTATCCACTTCCAAATTCAAGAATGGAAAAATCATGGAAGATTATAGGACAGTGGGAATATCCTTAAGGAGAGGTATGGGACTAACACGTTGGCAGAGCAGTGCCAGCTGCTGCTTTCTTTTTATATGTGTGTGTGTGTGTGTGTGTGTGTGTGTATGTATTTTTTTGGGGGGGGCTGCATTGGGTCTTTGTTGCTGCACGCAGGCTTTCTCTAGTTGCGGTGAGCGGGGGCTACTCTTTGTCGTGGTGGCTTCTCTTGTTGCGGAGCATGGGCTCTAGGCGCGCGGGCTCAGTAGTTGTGGCTCATGGGCTCTAGAGTGCAGGCTCAGTAGTTGTGGTGCACGGGCTTAGCTGCTCTGTGGCATGTGGGATCTTCCCGGACAGCGCTTGAACCTGTGTCCCCTGCATTGGCAGGCGGATTCTTAACCACTGCCCCACCAGGGAAGCCCCCTGCTTTCTCACATTCAACAGTCTGACCCTCTTTTTTTTTTTTGTCTGACCCTCTTAAAATTATTTCAGGGATTCATTAGATGAGAGTGGAGTGGAATTTGTTTGAGGCTTCCTTATAAGAAAGAAAATCGGAAGGCTATGGGAATTGGGGGTACCTGGTGGATGACATAGATGCCATAAGCAAGCTGCTGGCGTTGCAGGAACGGATGCAGGTGGTAGAGCAGCAGGCGCAGGTGGTGCTCCCGGGCACGATGGGGCACAATGATGGCTGTTCGGGACCGGGGCTCACACCCTGCAGGGCGGTACCGGCCCCCCGGTTCCACCCGGGGATTCCTCTCCACAATCTCTGCCAGTGACGGCACTGGGCTAAAGGACACGGACACGGGACCCACTGTTGGGAGGGAATGGCAAGGTCAGGGATTAGAAGGGCAAGAAGAACTGTCCCTGGCAGTCTTATTCTGGGGCTCAGCTCCCCCAAGGGCTTGCTCAGAAACCTCACAAAACCTTGAGTTCCCCATCACTGGGACAGCTTTGCAAAGTCTGGAAGGTGAAGGCTCCTTACCTAGCCTACCTTCTTATTTGAGGGTTCCATAACTCCCCCCTGCCTCACAAGGTTAGAAGCTTACAGTTAGGGGATGGAGAGAACAGATGGACTTCCAACTAACTCACTAAACTAGGAGTGATCTACAAAAGAAGCAAGTCCTAGCCCAAGGCAAGAAGGGCCCATAAATGGGCTGTGGCTCAACCCAAGAGCCCAGTCGAAACTCCAAATTTAGAGTCCATTCTATCTCAACCTCAGCCTCCCTTCCAGTTACGTGAGCCTCCTGTTCTAAGACCCACTCCTGCCATCCTATGCCTGTCCAAGCCTCCCTGTCCCCACACCTTGGCCTCGCCTTCACTTCTGCCTTCCTTCTGCACTCACCTAAGAGAGGAGATCGTTCTGGACAGTAGGGCAGACCTTGAGGAGCTGGGGGGACCCCTGGGGCAACAGGGGCCCCAGGCAGGTGACTGAGGTTACTGTAGACATCATGGGGATGAGAGTAGTCAAATGTCGGCTCCTGCTCTCGGCCAAATAGAGCGCTGAGGCTTCGGAAGCCCCCCAGCGACAGGTACATCATGACAGCCAGCTGGGAGCCCACAAGCAGGGCCAGAGTGCAGGGTCGCTCCAGCAGCCTCCGCAGCATCCTGGGGTGTGGTCTGGAGAGGCAGAGAGGAGAGTGCTGGGGCAGGCAGGAAGAGAGCAAGCCAGCAGAAAGAGATCATTGGGCAGGGATGAAGGCGGTGCCAGGGGTAAAGAGAAAAAGAACAGAGTCACAGAAGGGAGCACACAGATGTATGGAAAGAAATAGAATGCTACCACTAGCAGACCTACCACCTGTCACTTCCAGCCCAAGTTTCACTCTCCTCCACCCCTCCCTCAAACCACTCCTATCACCTACTATCAGTCCCCAAGAATGCTTACATCATTCATGTCCCAAGGCCATTTCAGAGCATTCTCTGGAGAACCTCCCTTCCAATTTTAGAGGGGGTAGAGATAGACTCACCTAGGTTCAAGCTGTCTTCTTCAGGATCATGGGGACTCCACGGGGTCCCGGGGGAGCAGAGATGTGAGGCATTATATAAAATTGGAAATGTCACAGAGGACAGAGAAAGGCTCCATCCAGCACTCCAACAGCAATCTTAGGACCAGCTGAAACACAAGTGGTCAAGGATAGCCAGCCACCCGCAGAGAGGCAGACACGAGGATCAGGGTGAAGCCGGTTTCCCAGCTGGGGAAGGGAGGGAAAGTGGCTGGAGAGAAAAGGGGTGCAGCAGTAGATGCTAGGTCCCTGGCCTCTCCCCCGTGACCCTCTAGTGTGTCAGATTCACTCTGTACTTAACCATCCTCCACCCCAGCAAGACCAACCTGTTTGGAGAGTGGGGAAAGGGAAGCTATCGGAGATCTTACTTTCGCCAGGGGGTGAGGCAGTCTTAACAGGACTGTGGAGTGGCCTCAAGAGAACCCAGGGAGGCGGAGGAAACTGGCTCCTTTCCGTTCTTCACGTTTCTGGGAGCTAGCTCTGCAGGTGCAGGGAGCGTGACCACCTGGGAGCTGCATGCAAACAACCTTGGAGCGCGGCGGGGAATAGGATGGGGGTAGCATCCCCTACCTTTTTCTACCTTTCCCCGGTCCTATCGGAGGTGGGGATCAGGGGTTATTGGTGAAATGAGATAGGGAGATGGAGGGCTGGGCAGAACCTGTCAGAGGTACCTGGGCTAGCTCACCTAGAGGGGCGTGGTCAGCGCTCTGCAGGGGCTTACAGCCCAGTTGTTTCGGAGCACCCTCATCCCACCCCAATCTCCTCCTGCGTTTGCTCTACCTTGCAATGTGAGCCCACCGGCCTCTGTCCATACTCGCACTTACGTCCCCCTCCCTGCTCAAGGCTGTCTCCAGCCTTTACCCAAAACTTCTCACCTTCCCAATTTCCCGAACCTTTCTCCCGTGCCTCTCACCCCACCAGCCCCAGACCACACACCTGACCTTCTGCAGCCAGTCTTCACCACCACCCCGACAGCCGGAAAGAAACCACTGCCGCCATCTTAGAAGCGGGAGCTTCGGGGGCGGGGCCTCGCGTCACGGGGCGGGGCCTAGGGTGGAGCCGCCCCGGCCCGCGAAGCGCAGGGTCTGAGCCCCGCGCGGCCTGTGGGGCACGGGTGAAGCTACAGCGCGGGCTTCTCGGGGCTCGATCCCTCGGGAGAAGGCGCGGGGGCTCATCCCCACCGGACCGACTTCCAACGGGATTCCACCCCCCACCCCTCACCCCTCACCCCTCACCCCTCACCCCTCAGACTTGTGAAAACATCAAGTCAAACCGGGACCTTTCTCGGGGCCAAGACGTACTGAGAGGCCGGTGCATCGGAAGACCTCACTATCGCCCGAAGTTGACCTGAACCCCTTTCCCAGTGTGTCAGCGGCGCCCCCTTTAACCTAGTGCCACTTATTATCAAAATTATTTCTTGCCCAGGGGACATGGTTGCGGACTCCTCTGGCGCATTTTTGTATCCCCAAGGTATCCCGCAGGCCTTGAAATAGAAACGGTTAATAAAACAAGGAAACGTTGAGTGTGGAGGGAAGGGCAGCGTCCGCTTTAATGTAAAAATGTGTTTCCCCAGATGTTAGAGTAAGATGGACGCTTCGTTAATATGCAAAATATGTTTTATCTTGTGGCTTCTACTTAGAAGCAGATCATCACACTGAGGAAACTTAAATAACTCGCAGTGTCTGCCTCAAAAAGCTCATGTTCTTTTGTGCGGGGTCGGGGTGGGGGTGAAGGGGGTCAGGGTAGTTGTACACAATATAGTGTGATAAATATGATAGCCTAAAAATTGCACCTCATTCACAAGTTGAAGTTTGGGAAAGGTTTCCCAGAAGAAGTGATGACTAATGGGAAACCTGAAGGACTTGTCTATAGCATGTCCTTCTGTTTTATAAGATTCAGTCTCCATGGACCTATTTTACAATTCTGTGTAGGTTAACTGATCCACATGCAAATTCTGTCCTGTCTGAGAGAGGTTCAATTAAACCCCTACTCCCCTCCTCACCCCGCCCCCCCGCATTGTGGGAAAAACAAAACAAAACAAAACAATTTTGCCTCCATTTTCGTATTTCTTTATTTCTGATCTGTAAATGTGTCTGCTCTTTAGATTTTTTTTTTTTAACGAGTTATAACATCTGCTGGTTTCCTTATGAGTTAAATAAAATCTTTAACAGGTGTTCATTTTTATACGTGTATTGACAAAAACTCTCTCCTTGACCACATTTTAGACAGGCTCCCCTGAGCCCTCTTTTCTAATAGACCTCATCCTTGGGCCTATAGCCATTTTTATCAAGAATCCTGCTAAGTCACTTTAGCAAGAATCCCCTCACCCTTAATTTCTGATCACCCTGGCCTGCCTTTAGCAAGAATTCTAAGTTGGTTGAGCAAGAGTCTCCCTACTCTTGATGTAATTTTCCATCTACTGACTCATTCTGCTCATTGGCTATAACTATCCACCTGTCCTTAACTGTATTCAGAGTTGAACCCAATCTCTCTCTGATTGGGATAGCCTTGGCACCTATTGCAATAGTCCTGAATAAAGTCTTTCTTACCATTTTAACAAGTGTCAGAATAATTTTTTCTTTAACAGTGTGAGAGTCATAATTTTACCCTTTTCTGAAAATTATCTTTTAACAGGTGAATAGCGTTCTAGACACAGGAAACCATAGTGCAAAAGTCTGGAAATGAGGAAGAAATTAGGGAGTTGGGGAAATTAAAAAATGGATCAATGGGCTAAACGATAGAGTCAGGGGAATGGTGAAAGATGAAACTGAAGAGGTAAATAGGTGCCAGATAATGAAAGACTCCATAAACCACATTGAAAGAGATTGAGTTTTATCTTGTGGGCAAGAAGAAAGCCTTAAAGTGCTCTAAACAGAGGGTGCTACGATCAGAACTAGGAATTTTACTCCGGTGGAAACGAGGAGCATTATTGGAGTGGTCAAGACTGGAAGCAGGGACCTATCAAGGAGGTTACTGCAGCCATCCAGGAGTGAGATGAAACTCATGCAAAACAAGGTAATATCAGTGGGACTGGAAGGAAGAGGACACCTTTGAGAACTTTTAGGAGGCAAATAAGACTTGGTGACTGGCTGGATGTGTCAAGTCAGGGAGTTAGAAGACTCCAAGAGGACTCCCAGATTTCTTTTTTTTAATTAATGAATTAAGTAAGTAAGTAATTTATTTGGCTGTGCCTGGTCTTAGTTGTGGCATGTGGGATCTAGTTTCCTGACCAGGGGTAGAACCTGGGCCCCCTGCATTACGACCACAGAGTCTTAACCATTGGACCACCAGGGAGGTCTCGACTCCCAGATTTCTAATGTGGATCACTGGGTGGATGGTGGCGACATTTAATGAGAAACAAAACTTAGAAGAGGTGGGCTTCCCTGGTGGCGCAGTGGTTGAAAGTCCGCCTGCCGATGCAGGAGACACGGGTTTGTGCCCCGGTCCGGGAAGATCCCACATGCCGCGGAGCGGCTGGGCCCGTGAGCCATGGCCGCTGAGCCTGCGCGTCCGGAGCCTGTGCTCCGCAATGGGAGAAGCCACAACAGTGAGAGGCCCGCGTACTGCAAAAAAAAAAAAAAAAAAAAAAAAATCTTAGAAGAGGCACATTTGGGGGAAACAGTAGAGATGACAAGTTAAACTTTGGACCTCATGAGTTTGAGGTGCCTATGGAGGCTCAGAATTAGATGATACTGGATTTGAATACAATGGCAGCTTTGAAACCCACTGGCTGTGTGATGTTGAGCAATACACTCTCTCGGTTTCATCCACACAGTGAACCCATCTTAAGTGGTTTCGTGATAATTAGTGAGAATTATGGAAAAGGGCCAGCAGACAGCAGATATTCAATACATCTGATTCTGAGCACAAAGTAAGAGCCAAGTAAAAGCCCTCATTTTTTGTTTTTTTTTTAAAGATCTCACTGTGTAGTGGAAAAGACAGACATACAGAAACCTGAAATGTAGTTCTAGAGGACCCTTCCTCAGCCTCTGCTCCTCCACGGTGTTCTACTCTTGTAAAACTGACTTCACCTTCTTATTCCTCCTATCTACCATCTTCTGATAACTCCTCTACATTCATTTGCAAGCTCCCTGTTTTCAAGAACCTTCATCTCTACTCTTTTTCACCCTGGCCGCATCCTGGGCTTAGTCATCCCCTAGAATTGCTAGTTTCTGAAACCTTAAATTCTGATATGCTGGTTTCCACCGCAACATCCGATCTTTCTGTATTCTGAATAAATCCTGGGGCCTCTAGAGGCCCAGTCATGACACACAACATAACAGAAGAAACACAGTCTAGTAATAAAAAAAACTAATTTAACATAATTTAAATCTTTACTTAGTTTCTCAAGGAAACATCAGAGGATGGGGGAGGGGAGAGAGAAGCAGGAGCACATTTTAATACACAGCTCAATGTCTTTAAAATCCTCTCTCCCCCACTTAACATTTTCTACCGAGATGGTAGCTTCTCCCCAAAACTACCCCTTCCAACTCGACTCAGTTGCTTTACAGTATTATCCACCAGCTTCAAGTCTGTTCACTTTACTTTGATTTTGCATAACAGAGCAGAGCCTGGGAGCTGACCTAGCAAGCACACCTTCCACCACTACCCTACTCTCCAAAAGCCATTATAGCTTACTTCTAGAAGGGGAGGCAGACACCTCCTCCAGGAACACTTCCTTGACCCCATATTCTATGCGCCTCTTCTATCATGGCACCTATCACACAGGTCTGGAATCTTTGTCTTACCTGACTGTCTTAGCCACCAGACTATGAACTCTCTGAGGACAGAGACCATGTCTTCCTTTTTATTATCCCCTGAAAGTAACCTACAACTTTTGGCACAAATTCTACAAAATAGCCCATTTTAGATCTGACCTAGAAAGTTCCTTGGTATACTTATTTTCTCAGGCCAATGCAGGAGTGGGAAGGGAACAGGGAATGGAAGAGATTTGAGGGGAAGAGAATCAGCATGTATTGACACTTACTAGAAGCCACACACAGGGCCAAGCATTTACATCATTATGTTCTTAAGTTCTGACAACCTCTCCATAACGCAGGTGGTAATATACCCATTTTACAGATAAAGAAACTGAGGCTCACAGAGATCAAGTAATTTAAGATCATGCCATTACATCTTGGCTCTTGCAAAGCTTAGATTCAGTCTGACTCCAAAAATCTGTGTCCTTTCCAGACACTGTGAGAGAATGATTTGATTCTAGTTTATAACAAAATGGCTTATTTATTGAACAAATAAGTGGGATGAACAATTCATTCTCACTGGGGAATTAGGTCAGTTAATATATTTCCTCTGACCCATTTTCAGGCCCCAGTTCTCACATTTTCAGCTTCTCAATGCTTATTTGCATCTACATTATCAAGAGAATGTGCTAATGTATCTCTATGGAGTTGGACATGTGTATGTCAATGTGTGTCACTGTTTGTGTATTTGTTTATTACTGGGTTTGTAGGGCCTGTTATTGGTTGCTCAAAGACTGTGAGGGATGCCTTCAATTTATACTTCCTCCCCTCCCTTTCCTTCCTAAAGCTACTTAAGTACTCTGGGCCTGTCCCCATATAAGGTCCTATCTGAGGAAGTTGTTCGGAATTGTTGTTCCCCCCCTCCCCTCATCTGCCTCTTTCTGAGCATTTTTAGAACTGGTGGTTTCCTGCAGCTGTCAGCTGGTTACTCTTGCTGCCAATGATTTTAGCTTGCCCCCAGCGACAGTCAATGGGGAAGGTGTTCAACTTGTTCAGAAGCATCCTCTGAGCCAATAAAATGTTACTACGTTAAGTTCTACTTTCTTCCCCCTTCCTCCCCCACAAGTCCTGACCAATGAGATGCTGGTTTTGTCAATTACTATCAATCTGGTATTTCAGAAAACAAAACACTGTAATACCGTACGGAGATTAAACAAGTGGAGCCAGAGATGGAGTAGAAATGTAACCGAGTAGCTGGTCCCACGGCACCCCTCAGGAATGCTGGCTCTCTCACCCTCACCACACAAATAGGGGTTGGACAAATGCCCAGATTTCCTCCGCTCTAATCACTGAAGTCGAGAATCTCAGGGACAGAAAGGACTTAAAGAAATTGGCCCAACTCACAGTTACTGCTTCGACCTCTTCCCCCACCTTGAACACACAGGCACACTTGCCATCCCATAAAATAGTTGTCCATCTCTCCTTGAACTTCTGCAGGGACGGGGTTCTCTCAGCAGTCACCGACTCTTCTTCCTCCAGCTCATCACCATTCTTTTTCCCTTAAGGACCAGACACTTGAACTGTCTCCATGCCTTCTTCCTTCCTGTTATTCCTGTTTCTCCTCCTGCTTGTACACCCACATCCCAGCTCAGACCCATGAAGGCAATAATGCCCTCCCCATATCCATAGCAAGAACTTGTTGGACCCCTGACATCGGGATATTAGGCAGTCTACAGCCTGGGTCTGGGAAGGGTGGTAGGGGCGAGAACATTCCAGGAAGGGGTGAGGCCTTGCTAGGGATTTAGGGCCAGGATACCCATCGATTCT